AAAGATCGAATGAAAAAAGAATGTTAACAACAAATACTTTTTCACACTCAAACCAAGTTCTGCGGGATCAGAATCAACGTTGAGTTTAAGCAAGCGAATGAGAAAATTGGAGTAAAGTGCCATGCAGATTTAAATTTTAACCACTTGTGACGAATGCAGCTATTGATTTTTTTTGCATGTTAGCATGTTAGTTAACATTCGTGTCAGTCAGCTGTTGGCTCTCACACTGGCCAGCAGAATCTTCCTGCCTATTCATGGCAGCCAGCTATAGGCTCTCACACTGGCCAGTAGAAAATGGCCGCAGACTATATGAAAACTGCTGTAGAAGCATGAAAATTCGATTATTTCTACTATTAATGGGAGTTGGGAAATGCAAAGTCAGTCTTGGTCTTCCCACTAAATTGAAGCATGTGCATGTAAATTTTGGTGCAAATCCGTTGAAAATTGCGGCCGTGCATTCATTACACACACACACACACACACACACACACACACACACACACACACACACACACATCCTACCTTTTATATATATATATATATATATATATATATATATATATATATATAAATAGAATAAACTGGGGCTCAATGCCAATGTTGACAGAACATAAATATAATAATATATTAATATTAATATTTAATATTAATATTTAATACCAAAATCCACTACTCAGAATTTCATGTAACAAGAGTCATGAAGCTGAACTCCTAACTTCTGCCTGATAATTGTTGTTACATGAAACTCTGAGTTGCCGATTTTGGTAATGATAATATACATATATATATATATATATATATACTATTTACTATTTACATTATTCAAACTATTGTCCTCGTCTTTGTTGCCATATTTATCACAACATTTTGCCCGTTGTACGCTTCAACCTTCTTCAGTCAGCTGGGATGTTGAACTGAACCCTTTATTTTGCTCACTGGAGTAGACTGTTCTAGTTCCACGTACCATGTCTAATGGATGTCAATTATCTCCTGTTAATTCCCCTCTCCAAGTTCTCCACCACCTTAACCAGGTATTGAACTCACACTCTTTGGGTCCTGTCAAACTCACACTCTTTGGGTCTTGTCACTGGATCTAACTAATGCCCTGAGAATATCTGTGTGTGAATTTCTGGGTATTATAAACCTAATATCTTCAGCAACCATTTTTTTACAAGTGCTCATATTGCAATTTTTGCTGTTATCATTGCATGTTATTTACCAGCAATTTTTGCAATTTTTGTTATTATTATCACTTTTCTCTGGCACTCCTTATTACTGGTTTTCATATTGTATTCATTTCTATGCTTGGTTGGATCACAAGATTTTTGTGGCCTAGCATATGTGCTGATTCCTTAAGTTTACGAATTTTCCAATGATGTTCTTTGTCTATGATTTCCTCTTGATTCCACAGAAGGCAGTGATCTCCTTTTTCTCTCCTTATGTGGTCAGCTATGCCTTATTTTTCCACTTCCCCTTGTGTTACAGGTTTCTGGTGTTCTTGAAGACTTACCTTAATGGAGTGGCCTGTTTCCCCTTTATATTTTTTTCTGCAGCTGCACGGGATGGCGTACACATAGTCTTTAGTTATGTTTCCTTCTATGGGGCGAGGTCTTACTCGGGACAGATATCGGTGAAGTGTCGTTCAGCTTTTGAAGGCTGTCTTGATGTTATATGGACTGCAGATCCTTTGTATTTTCTCTGATAACATTGTGATAAATATGGCAATACAGATGACGACAATAGTCTGAATAATATAAATAGTGTACATAATAACTCATCTCAGAAATATAGACACACACACACACACACACACATATATATATATATATATATATATATATATATATATATATATATATATATATATATAAGTTATATATATATATATATATATATATATATATATATATATATATATATATATATATATATATATATATATATATATATATATATATATATATATATATATATACCTGGTGTAACAGCAAAATTCTTCATTTTTAAGATTAAGCTTCGAACTGTTGTATCTTAGAAATGATTAAAGATATCTTACTGGAATTCACTGAGGTTTTTCTAACACTATTGTACTCTCCTTTTAGCAATAAGAATGTATAATTACATTGTGGTGAAATCAATCATAAACGAAAATGATATATTCATCATTAATTAATCATAGCTAATGATTAGAAGTTTATGAAGGATTGAAATAAAGTTCAAATATATATATATATATATATTTATCCAGGATCATTTTCCAACCTATTCAAAATGATCTTCACCCTCTCTAACTTTCTAACTTTCTGTCCTGGAGTAACAAGGTGCCTCACAGATTTCAAGTATGATTCCATTTTCAAGTCTTTTTTCATTGATCTTTGGACTGTCATAGCTGAAACGCCTCTCTCACGTGCTAAACGTCTTATGGATTGATCAATTTAGCTCTAAGTTGAAATGATGTTCCCTCTTCCTGTTGTGACCTTCTGATCCAGTTTCCTTCTCTACTGTTTCCTCTTTTTTAAACTTATTCACTGTTCTCTTGATGGTTCCTGAATGGACTTTGAAGATCAGAGCCAGAGTATGAATGTTGGTATCATTACTGAAGGCTTGAATGATCTTCTTCCTCTCACCATTGCTGACACAAAGCGATTTTAACCTGTTCCCTTTCTAACTGAATAACTCAAAGGGTTTTTCAGTAATTCTTAGGACAAATGGTGTTAATATGGCAAAACATCTGATCTGAAAACTTGGGAAAAAGAAACTGTTAATTTAGTGGTTTTTTAAATATTAAATATTTTATGGGATGGACAATTATCCCATGTTGCTACATGATTTGGACAATTTTACTGTCACACTTGATATATATATATATATATATAGAGAGAGAGAGAGAGAGGGGGGTGTAAGAGAGAACAAACATGATCAAATAAACAAAAACTAAAAGACTGGGCCAAACTAAAAATTTGGAAAAAGAAATACAATCCCCAATAAGAAAGAATATATTCCTAGAGCAAAGAGACCAAAAGGACACAGGACTTCAGCATGACTAATAGTTTCATGTGCTAATTGATACTTATATAGTTTGAAGTTTATATATATATATATATATATATATATATATATATATATATATATATATATATATATATATATATATATACACATGATAACATTCTTAAGAAAGAGCAAATTTAAAATTTAGTTGATGCAAAATAGATATGATATCTGTTAAATTCAATTGAGTTATCTTTTAATGTGCACATTTATCACTGTGAAACTGAATTGGGAGATAAAAGTGTTGAACATTTTGTTTATTTATTCACTATCATTAATATTATATATATATATATATATATATATATATATATATATATATATATCATTTAAGCATTAAAATCAGTTATTTATGTAACAAATGAAATACAATTTTCCTAACCCAAAAGACTCGAATTCACAAAAATCCGAAATTAAAAATGGTGGCATGTCTAGAGAACATACCGGAAATAATTGGTGACAAATAGCTACAACTGAAAGAAAAGAAAAAAAAAAGAGAAAAAACTAAGGAGTGAGTTTAAAGTGCCCCCACCCCAAAAAAAAACAAGGCAAAGGACAAATGATGATGACACGCTACATGAAGTGTGGATAGATGGACCTGTCTATGAAACTCTGGAGTTGGGATATTGAAGGTAACATCAATCAGCTGAGTGACACACTTTTAATTATATTAATTATATATATATATATATATGTAGAGAGAGAGAGAGAGAGAGAGAGAGAGAGAGAGAGAGAGAGAACAAACACAAGCAAATAAATAAAAACTACTGAGTTAAATAAATCAGGACTGAACAGAAGAAAAAGTTAAGAAAACCTTTCTAAACACAGTGTCCAATAGTCTAGACTATAAAATCCCAAACAGCAAACTAATTCAGAAAATAGTAGGAACACATTTGAAGTTCAAAGAGACACAGGACTTTACTGAACCTATTAGTTAAGTGCAACTTAAACTGACACATAAACACTATAGGTAGGCATGCATGAAGACTGAACTCACAATATGAGCAAATTTGCATGCAAAATGACCTTGTTAACTACAATATCATGACAAGTACCAAGGTAAGTTATGGAAGAGTGGTTCGCGAGTTACTCTTATGGATCAAGTACAAGTCCTGGCACATTTAATTAATTCCTTCAATTTCTGTGCTACACCCCACCTCCCTGTCATGGTGCCAATTTGGTATGGCATACTTATTATTTTACTAAAGTTGAAAAATCCCAACCAGTGTAACAATTCCAGACAGCACTTGCATTTGGTACAAAAGATTACTCACTCAACTACTTACTTCTCTTTCAATCATTGCAACTGACAATAAGATATTTTGTCAAGATATGAGTCAAAGAGAAAAGTTTCATACCTCTCCAAAATGCCTTTGTATTTTCTTTTGTTTTGTATGAAGGCACAGTGGAGTAATGGATAGTAGCTTGGATTGAGGAATCGGAGAGCCGAGTTCAAATTCCAGTCAAATCTATTACATTTACTTACGTGCTAATACCCTTGGGAAAGGTATGAATCCTCTTCTCCCACCAGCTATCGGCAAATAGTAGGATAGACCGAGTTCTATAGGTTTGGATGACAACTGGTCTACCACAGAAAGAAATGTCAACCTACTGTGGGAAAAAAATCTGTCTCATCAGTCATGTATTGAGAGGTACATGATTGCCTAAGCATGTATCATGGATGGCACATAACTGATTACTTATCAACGATTTGCAAATTATTTATACCCAGAATATATTTTTAGCTTGTAAGAATTTTTTGGAGATAATAATGATTTAGTGATACAAGTCTTACTTATTAACCCATAGCTGGGGGATAAGAACAGAACCATACCTTGCTCTATGGTATTTGTGCATAAATGAATATAACTAACTAAATGTAAACTGGAACTCAGCTCTCCAATTAACAATTCTGAGCCATTATCTATTGTACCACCCATACATCCAAACTTGCAGCATTGAATATTCCCAAGTGGTCACCCATTTAGATACTGACCAGGTTCAATGTTGCTTAACTTTGGTGATCGTACAGGAACTGGTGTTTTAAAACTGTATGGCAGTAAGCCATCAAAATGCATTTGTGATTAGTATATACTTGGTGCGATGGATAAATTGTCATCTAAATTACGTAAAAATGGAAATAATGTTGGCTTCTCATTTAAACAGATTTTCCAAAATTACTCAAAAATATCTTGAAATACTAAAGAATAGATATATCTACAAAATCGCCACTGACTTCAACCATGGCCTCCAGACAACTTCGGAATCTCCTGCACCACTTTTGGATGGTCTGCTTGTTTAAGTTGGTGAATACTGCCATAATCCTTGTCTTTAGTTCATCTTTAGTGTTACAAAGAGTTTTGTTGGTCCCTTGCTCAACTGTGCCCAACACATAATAATCAAGGGGGTTGCAGTCTGGGGAGTTAGGTGGCCAGATATATGGGGTGATGTGGTGGCAGAAATTATCTAACAGCTATGACTGATTTCTTCATGGTGCAGAGTCCTGTTGTCAGACATATGGTCTACCAGCAGCCTCTCTCTTCAGGGTACTAGATGTAGGCCTCTGTGTTGAGTCTTAGGCCCTGTGTGAAGATGAATCCAGGTATAACATCTCTATCACTATTGATCACTTCAAATACCTTCATATTTATCATTAGACGCATCCAACTTTTTCTGAATCCTCTGCGTTTTCCTCAGATTGACACCCAGACATTCTGAAATGTATTGAAGGTTCCAGTGTGAATGCCAAGCAGTATAGTATGTCGCTTCCAAATTTCTGGCAGAGTGAATTGCATCATGGTGCTCTTTTTCTCACAGATGGTGCCCAACTGACCCTACTATACTGTGCAATTGGCAAAATCAAAAACAAACAATGCACATGCGCCAAATTAAAATGTAAAATGGAGAAAATTTACCCATCACAACCTGTACAGCATTAATGTCTTCCTTAGCACTGTACATACTCATCGTCCAAAGGAATATTGAAATAGCTTAAAGATGCCTTCCAAAAACTAAGCAAATTACTAAGAAAAAGGAAAATTTTGTTAGAAACAAAGAAAAGAGTGCTGAATTGCTATGTAATATCACTCTTCCTATATGGCAGTGAATGCTGGACGATTTCCTCAGAGATGAAGAGAAAACTTGTGGTTCTATACAAGGATGCTGAATATACCGTGGACAAAGAGTGCAATCAACAAAGAAGTTTTAAGGAAAACAGAAGCAAAAGATAGTTGAAATTTCAGGGACACATAATGAAGAAAGAAGGCTTAGAAAATTTAACACTCACAGGAAATATTGAAAGTAAGAGAGGGAGAAAGGAACAGTGAGTAACCTACCTAACAAGGTTAGCCAAAGACAAACATTGCTAAGAACTACAAAGGATAGGATGTTGTGCAGAGCGATAATCACCTACATAACAAGATTGTACAAATGAATGACAGAACAGAGAGCGGGAAAGTTAGCAAAATGACAGACGTTGATGGAAACTGCAAAAGATAGGAAAATTGTGAAGATCCATAAACACTTACTTAACTAGCTTGTACAAATGAATGGTAGAAAAGAGAGTAAGAAGGTTAGCAAAAAGACAAATATTGCTGTGGACTACAAAGGATAGGAAGTTGTGGAGAGCCATGTCCAACCATGTCCTGAAGGGATATGGCATATAGAAGATGTACAGTATGAAGATATTTTTAAAAATTAACTGACTGGCACACACAGCTGGGTTCATTTAGGCCTTCCAGAAATATCTACTTTATTTATTTTCTATCTTTTTTTTTTATTTTGTAGTTTCTTATGATGTCTTATTTTTTTTATATCTTTATCCTGTCTCAGTTTTCTGTATTCCTTTCTTTCTGTCTTCTAGCCTCTTGCTCTATCTATCTCTTCCTCATGCAATTATCTATCAGTTGAAGGCATCTGGTTCAACTGGAGCAACCGATAAAAAGAAGGCTTTGAAATAACTTAAAAGTTAAGGTGATGTATAGACAAAACTTTCAGCTATAGTAGCTAGACTTTATGAATTTAAGTACAAGATTGGCAGAAAGGTCTTATCATTTTATAGTTGAAATGGCTTGGTGTAACCATAAGATCTATGCTAACAGTTTCTTTTATTGCACCTCTCACTTGTGGAACTCTTTTCGTTTTTTTTGTTTCCCCAGTCAACTTTATTATTTATTCGGTTGAGTCAACTCTGATTTTCAAAAATTTAAATGCAATGTTATTTGTTATCTTCTGTCTTTTTAATTCTTGTTCTTTTATTGTTCTCTCTCCTTAATAGTAGTTTTTTTTTCATGTTCTCTAATATTCAGTTACCTCTTAAATCCTAGTGGCTTTACTGTGGAGTGAAATTATTAAAAAAGTAGTGAATGAACTAGAGAGATCTGATGACTGATACACATCCCTTCTCTGTATCTTGTTGTCAACAACCATGTTAACTAAACATCCCACCCCACCTGTGGATTACAGGACTATAGCCATACAACACAAGGTGTTACTTCTGTGATTTGCCTATCAAACAGGTTGTTATGGGGTGGAGTTGCTAGGCTCATACTCAACCAATTTTGAATTCAGAGTTGTCCTTCTCCTAGAGTGGTTGCTAATAAAAGCTTTGGGGTGCAGTCTACTCTGCTGTTAATATCTATCTTTTGGTAGAAAATACTTTTCTAAGAGTATCTGTGCAAAAACAAATGCTAAGATCTCACCTGGAATTTGAAATTGACACTTCTTCTTCATATGCCAGGTCCCCTCAGGATGTAGACGATCATGGCACTCCACAATTTCCTGTCCTTTGTAGCTCTTAATAAATTTTGTCCATTTCTGTGTTGTTTTCCACTGTCCATGCCTTCTACCTGTCCTGTGAGTATCCAAATTTTCCAAGCCCTCTTCTGGTTTCTCGCTTCCCAGTCAACTTTATTATTTATTTAGTCCCCCACCCCAGAACATTGGTGATCATGGCACTCCACAACTTCCTGTCCTTTGTAGCTCTTAAAAATTTTTGTCTTTTTGTTATTTCTCCTAAACCCTGTTTCACCATCCATTTACTTAAGCACCCAAACTTTACTGTGAGTATTAAATTTTCCAAGCCCTTCTTGCTCATTATTTGCCCCAGAAATTTCACCTGCTTCTTCCTGATGTTAATATAAGTTTCATTTTTGTTTCTATCTTGACTAAAAATCCGTCATTACTCATATGTTTGGTCCATGGTATCCTTAACTTCCTTCTGCAGAACCATACTTCTGTTGCTTCAAAAGTCTTCTTCCTCTTTGTGGAGATTGTCCAGCATTCACTGATGTATAGCAGACAGATAATGGTTCAGTACTTTTTTTCTTTGTTTCTAACAAAATTTTTCACTCTCTTAATACTCTGCTTAGCTTTTGGAATGCATCTTTGGCTAACTCTCTCCCAGCTTGTTGCTTTCCAGTCAACTTTGACCTTGAAAAACTTAAAAGCAATCTCAGCTGTTATCTTCTGTTTTTTTTTTAATTTGTGTTCTTTTATTGTCCTTTCTCCTTAATAATTGTTTTTCTCATATTCTCTAACACTCAGTAACTCGTTGTATCCTAGTGGTTTTATTGCCTTGCTTAAAAAAATTGAATATGTATAAATATAAATATATATTTTTAAAGAATTAATGGATTTATCATCTAAACCAACATTTTTATTACTTCAAATGTTATAGTAGATACTTTTTACTTTTTACATAGACACCCAATTATTTTAAATTTTTTTTATCTATTATTATTTTATCTTTGTATATTACTGTGCGTAGGGAGCACACAGAAATAAACACCAAGACAGTCAATCATCAAATGACAAAAAATGATTTGTGAGTCGGTGGGGGGGGGGATTCACACATTTCATCACACAAACACACAAATATACATATGCATGTATGTATGTATGTATGTATGTATGTGTGTGTTTGTCTATGTATGTGTGTGTGTTTATGCATTTAAATTGTGTGTATTTGGGCAGCAATTTTTCATTTCTGCAGGTTCGGTATTTGTTTAACAGATATTTAAATTTTTTGCTTTGGTTTGGACTATGCTTAGAAATTACCCAATGTCCTCTCAACATTCAAAAAGATTTTTTGATAATGGCATAAGAAACACGAAAATGCTCAGATATTGGACAATTAATATTTAAATTCTCTTTGGAAACCAGAAAAATGGTCCAAACAGAAGAAAAAAATTGAAAAAAATTCTTAAATAAAGAATTTTCACTGGTCTTCAATCAAACGAAAACTCACACACACACACACACACACACAGAGGGATATACAGATTTGATCCCAGCTGGAGAGCACATTTCTAATACTTCTCAAATGTAAACAATACACATTTTTTTGTGGATTTGATTCAACCCACCACAAAAGGTAAATGTTTTTAAATATAAAAATATAAAATATTTTCATGTTTTTACAACATATATATATAACATTTACAACATATATCTATAAAAATATAAAATATTTCATGTTTTTACAAAATATAAAATATTTTCATGTTTTTTACAACATATATATATAACATTTACAACATATATCTATAAAAATATAAAATACTTCATGTTTTTACAAAATATAAAATATTTTCATGTTTTTACAACATATATATATATATATATATAACATTTACAACATATATATATAAAAATATAAAATATTTTCATGTTTTTACAACATATATATATATATATTTTACAACATATATATATAAAAAATATAAAATATTTTCATGTTTTTACAAAATATAAAATATTTTCATGTTTTTTAAACATATATATATAACATTTACAACGTATATATATAAAAATATAAAATATTTTCATGTTTTTTACAACATATATATATAACATTTACAACATATATATATATATATATATAAATATAAAATATTTTCATGTTTTTACAACTAAATTTTTCTCAGCATGTATGTGTGCTAAAGTTCTTGTGTTAAAGTTCCTTTTTTGTAGTTGTTTATTAAGATGAAAAAAATGTGATGTCTTCGTATGTACATGCAAGAAAAAAGAGGCAAGGGAAAATGTAAGTAGGAAAGTGT